CTTGGAGCAGCTCCCCCTGGGCTGCCCCCCTGCTTCTGCTCCCTCTCGGTTGAGTCTCACCCCCCCTCGAGCGTTTGTAGCAATGGGACTGGAAGGGGGAGACAAACTGGCCCTTTAAGCCTTTCTCTGCTGCTCCGCTCTCGTCCTGGCCCCTTCACTGATGCAGCCGGCCCTGCAGTAGATGAGGTCGTAAGGGCAGAAATGGACCCTCTGGCTGCGTGGTCTCCTCCCTCGCTGAGGGATCTGGGAATGGCTGGAGGCGCTGGCATGATGCTAGCAGGTTGGGGTGTGTTTAGGTGTGTGGCTGCACCATGAGAACAGGATCCAGCTGTAACTAACAGCAGTGTGGGCAGCCGTGAGACCTGGCTGTGCCAGTCCTGGGAGCCCCCCCCCCCACCCCCAACGCTGCAAAACACCCCACCCACCCATGAGAAATTTTCATTTTGGCTGGATCTGAAAAGTTGAATAAAGCCGGCTGTGTTTTAAATCCTGCCGTGTGTGATCTCTGCTCGCCTGCGAGGCGCAAAGCCGGTGAGGATACGTCAGAGCTGCGTCCTGTCTGTGTTTCCCTGCTCCCCCCGCACTCCACGTGGGAGCAGAGCAGCAGAGTGAACTGAGGAGGGCTCTGAGCCATTGCCTCTCCTCTTCCCGCTAGAGCCGAGCAGAGGGGTAGACAGAGGGGAGGCGACTGGATGGCAGTGGGGCGTGCTGGGGTCATGGCCATGCTCAGGTGGGGTACAGGGCATCACCAGTTCTCCCACCCCTCTCCCAGCGGCAGAGTTCAACATCATTCTGGAGAATCTGCTTCTCTGTGGCTGGTGGGCCAGTTTCCTCCTGGGGGCTGCGGGAAGATTCCAGCAGGCTCTGCCCTCCTGAGGCCCCTTCCCTCCCCCAATATCAGCTTTGCCTTCAGCAACTTCTGCTGGCCACCATCCCTAGCCTTGCTTCCCCGTCCCAGCCCCCGCAGGGCGGAGTTGAGCTCCCAGGAGCAGAATGATCCTTCCCAGCCTGTGCAGATTCCAGCCTGACGGGAACCTGCCTGAGTGCGCTCTGAGGGATGATTTACTCCTCCTTTCAGGAGCCCCGATTACCCCCGTGACCTGTGCCGTCCTCCTCCAGGTGCTCCAGAAGCTCTGCCGTGATTAATGGCTCCCTTTAATCTGCAGGGGAAGAGTCGTCAGGTTATCTCAGGGGAGTGCTGAACCAACCGACTCCTTTCGTGGCCTCTGCTCCCCCCCTCCCCACCTGGGCAGTGGCAGCTGCCTCTTGGGGTCACACCTTCTGCTTGACTTAAAACACAAACGGGGCTTCATGCCTCTAGCACTTTCCCAGCCAGCCCCACCACTGGCTCTAGCGGAAAGGCCTGTAACCGGCCTGGAGGAATGGCCAACGGGAGAGTGGTTCTCTCTGGTGGGCCATGGAAGGGGAGCTCCTTGGGTGTGGGAAGTTGAGGCAAGAGGGCTCTTTAACCGAGCAGTCCTCAGAGTGGAAAGAGGTGGAGACCCAAGATGGAGCCTCTGCCTCTAGGATGGTGGGTTGAAAGGAGCCCCTCTTATGATTGACTGAAAACTGGAACAGTCCAAAGCCTGTTCAGTGTCTTGGGTTATGAGTTTGTTGGGCCTCAGTCTGGCTCATAGCAGCCATAACATTGCCAGGGTGGGAGGCCAAGCACTCAACAGCCCTGGCCATCCACGCTTCTGTCTTTGCACTGTGCTTCCTGAACAGCTTGGCCTGTGACCCACTGTACGGGAGTACTGCCAACTCCTCGGTCCACAGGGCTCTATGCCTGTGGCATTGGGGCATAACCATGCCCCAGAGTCATAGCAATTAATCTTTGTATTGCTTGAGTTGTCCTTTCCTACAGCCAGGTCCCTCTGTTGCCTGGCATGCACTGTTAGCAAATAACACCTGGATTTCAGTATCTCACTAGTGTAGGGGGCCCTCTGAAGAGCTGGGGGCCCCACTATCCACCTTAAAAACTGTCTGGGACAGTCCCTGTCTATTCTAACACCTGTCTGCTTTATGTTTGGGAGCTGCCTGGCAGCCCTGAATCTGAGATCTTCGAGCTAGCCACCGATCTCCTTCAGAAAGTTACATCCTCGCTGCTGCAGCCGAGAGGAGCAGATGATGCTTCAAGTTAATCAGCTGGAACTGCTGAACTCTTGGGCTTGTACCTGGCGTTCTACACGTTTACACTTAGTAAGGCCTCCTGGAAGCTGGGCTAGGTAGGTCTGGCTGGGTGACCACAACGGTCCTTTCTGGCCTTACACTCTATGAATGAAAAGGAGTACTTGTGGCACCTTAGAGACTAACCAATTTATTTGAGCATAAGCTTTCGTGAGCTACAGCTCACTTCATCTGATGCATTCTGTGGAAAGTGCAGAAGATCTTTTTATACACACAAAGCATGAAAAAATACCTCCCCCCACCCCACTCTCCTGCTGGTAATAGCTTATCTAAAGTGACCACTCTCCTTACAATGTGTATGATAATCAAGTTGAGCCATTTCCAGCACAAATCCAGGTTTTCTCCCCCCCCCCCCCAAACCCACTCTCCTGTTGGTAATAGCTTATCTAAAGTGATCACTTTAGTGGCTAAGTCATTATGCAAGGTAACCTATTTCCCCTTTTTTTTTCCTCCCCCCCCCCCCCCCACGTTCTTGTTAAACCCTGGATTTGTGCTGGAAATGGCCCACCTTGATTATCATACACATTGTAAGGAGAATGGTCACTTTAGATAAGCTATTGCCAGCAGGAGAGTGGGGTGGGGGGAGGTATTTCTTCATGTTTTGTGTGTATAAAAAGATCTTCTTCACTTTCCACAGTATGCATCCAATGAAGTGAGCTGTAGCTCACGAACGCTCATGCTCAAATAAATTGGTTAGTCTCTAAGGTGTCACAAGTCCTCCTTTTCTTTTTGCGAATACAGACTAACAGGGCTGCTACTCTGAACTCTTCAGTTTTCATTCATAGAAGTTTGATCAGTTCTTTTCTCATGCTGTAGACTTACTGACACCTAGTGGCTGCTCTGGGAACAACAACCGAGTCAGGATGACTTTAATAAAAGTTTACCCTGTTGACGTTCTTTCTCTTTCGCAGAACTGGGGGAGGAGGGCGGTTGGGGGAGGCTTTATATTGTTAACGAGAAATTAATGACTGAGGGGTAGGGATGTAAAATTGGGCCAGGAGCTAAGGGCTAGGCTGCAGGATTCATGTGGAATCTATCCCCATTGGGCTGGTGCCAGGAGTGGGAGTTGAGAGGCCAGGCGAGGGGCTGGCTGGGCCCGTGCTCTGTAAGTGGAGATGCGACAATACGGAGGGGGTGGAGGTGCTTTTGTAAAACCTCATTGGCCAGCTCCGATGCCAGGAGTTTGGGTGGGATCCCATATCCTCTGAACCTGAAATTGCAGGGGTGGGGCACTATTGGGATAGAGGATTCCTACCCTATCCCAGGACTAGCAAGAAGGTTAACAAGGCACCATGCTACATTAAAGCCACTCCTGGTCCAGCCCTCAGAGATCCCAGCTCCTGCCTGGTCTTTATCCCTTTTTTTATGCATAGGCAAAACAGAAGTGAGAAGAATGAAGGCCGGAGAGGTTCTGATGGGCGAGGTGGCTCCCCTGAGCATATGATCTTCCTCGTGTGCTCTGTAAGCCTTGCTCTTTGTGTAGAAAGAAATACCTGCATCTCAGGGTCAGATGCAGATAGAGGCGCTGCATGGGGCAGGGGGTGCAAGTGGGGGTCATGTCCCCCCCCCAATTTCTGCCAGGTTTTATATACCCTGTCCTGAACCCCGCTGCATACCACCAGAACCTTTACATTGTGTGTCCCATCCCCCCCCCCCTCTGCTGTCAACAGTTATGAATCATCTCTGGGTGCAGGGAAGGTGAACTCTTCCCCAGGAGAAGAAGGGTTTGGTTGGCCTGTGCACGATTGTAGAGATGGTTGAAAGGATGTCATGCGGTCCATGCAGGAACTGAATCTGTCTTAAATTTCTCTTGGTGGCCAACTCTCTGATGCCAGAGCAGAGACCGAGAGAACCCGGTGGGCGAGTGGCTCGCAGTCCATCGGCCCACTATGCTGGTCTCTCTCTTTCTTGGGTTCCCCCATTGGAAAGTAGCTCAGGAGAGGGGGCTGCATGGGCCTGGTGAGGGGAGAGGGAACCTGCCCCTCTAGGTTATCCGTTCTGAGCTGGGGGCGATGGACCTATCTCACTGCTAATCCCATCCGAGAGGGGTGGCTCTACACTGTCCTTAAACAGCCGCCATGGACTCCAAGGTTGTGTATCTACAGGCATGATGTAGGTCGTGCTCTGTGAATTACCTGGCCCTTGACCTGGTGAACATTCTCCCTCTGCCAGGCTCCCAGGTAAGTCACTCTCAGGTCGGCTCGGGGCCAGTTTCCGTTGGAGCTTTAGTACGTGCAGCAGCTTATCCCCCAGGGACTAAGCGGAGAATGCTAAACTCATCTCATTCGGACTCGGGGGGCGGATCCTCAGTGGGTGTAAATAACCATACTTCCATTGACATCACTAGTGCTATGCCAATCTCCACAAGCTGAGGATCTGGCCCAGGTTGTCTGGTTTGCCAGGCTGTTTTTCCACTATACTGCTCAGTAAAGCAAGGGGACATTTGGCCCTGTTGCTAAATGCTCCCCCTGGGGCTCAGCTACTCTGCAACCATACTAAGTAAAAATGTGAAGACCTTTCTGGTTGCAAAGGGGTGACTGTCCTTTGCAGTGCAGCCCTGAGCTTGACGCTGAGCGCCGTAGAGATGACACAAAGAAATAATCCCAGGCCGAGCAATGGCCTCGGATTGTGGAAAAGGGGGTTGAGGGAAGGGATCTTTACTTCATACACTTCTACATATGATAAAGATCAGCTGAAACTCACTGCAAATGACACCATCAGTGTTAAACAGGCACAGCGGCAGGAAAACGGCAGGAGTCACTCGTGCACGCTGCAAATGCCCCAGCCAGTCAAACTGCAGCCCCCATCCACGTGCGATGGTGGGTCTGAGTCCCAGAAACAGAGTTTCATGCAGGGAAGCTTGGCTGGGTCGGTTCCCTGGGGCTGGGCGATCCAGGCCTTACAAGGATCTGTGGATCAATAATTCACAAGCTTCAGGGCAGCACCATGAACACCTAATTCCAGAACTCCTCCTGCTGGAGGGTGAGTTCTTGGCACTCCTTAGCCAAACGCTAACCCAGAGGTGCGAAGAACCTGCTCCTTCTTATCCAGGCTTTGGCCAAAGAAAGTGTAACCAGGGCAGCCAGGCTTTCAGACACGAGTTACGAAGGAAGCCACCATGGCCAAGATCTTTAAAGCGCCTAGTGATCTTTGGTTCTTCATTTTCAGGGTATCCAAATGGAGCCACCTTTAAAGAGGGTCTGGCTTTTCTGAGGTGGGTGCTCTGCTCTTTCAACAAACTGGGCCCCCTTAAGGTCTCCCAGGCTTGGCACCCACAGTCTCTGGTCACTTCTGAAAGCCTTGGCTTGCCAGGTATGGGAAATCCCAGTACACAGAACTGCAGCTCCTCAGGCTATGGGCTTCCACCACTCCAACCATGCAAGGATCACAAAGCGCTCTAGGTCCATTAATTGCTCAGTCCATGGGGCAGGATCAGCCCAGTCACCTCATGCCATGCCTGGGAGGTAGCAGATAGGCTCTTGCTCAGATTTCAGATATCGTGCAAAGAGATTACGGGACTTGCCCACAGTCACTCAATTCAAGTCAATAGCAGAACAGGGACAAGAACCTGGCAACCCAGGTCCCTGCTCTAACCGCTAGGCTGCGAGCAGGCTGTACAGTACGGGCAGGGAATGCTTAGCCCTGGGAGAGGTGTTACACACTGAAGTGGTCCCAGAATCTCTCCCCGACAGTGCAAACGGTACAGAACACAAGGGGGGAGCTCAGTGGAGACCTCGCTCTGACAAGTGCTTCCCAGCAGTGGGGACCTCATCCATACCCTGCAAAGAGGCCAGAGCTGCACCAGGGTGATCCACGGGGGGGTGTTTTCAGCTGTTTCAATGCTTTACCTACTTGAGTCTCCTGGGCCTGATGGGTGCTGGCTGGACCTCCCCTGTGTCCCCAAGATGCTACCCCGAGCCCTGCACTCCCAACCCAAGTGCCGCTGTTGGCCCAAGGCGAGGCGAGCAAGGCTCCAGGGCAGGCGAACCCTGCAGGTCCCTCCTTCAGCCTCAGAGTGCTGGCTTCCCCGTGCCCAGCCCCGTGCGCAGGCCCAGAGGGCGTCACTGTGAGCAAAGTCCATGGAGACCAAGGTCCCCGGGTGAACCACAGAACTTGGAGATGTGAGACGCTCTAGTCTCTCCACCCCAGGGCAGGCTGGGGAGAGGGTGAGGGTGTCAGACACTGACCAGTCCAGCCCCTTAGCTCACAGGGACAGACTCTGGGGCGGAGGGGGTGGGATACTGCAGCCACGCTGTGGGTGTTCCAGGCTGACGGCGCTGCTGGGGGGTCCTTTGCAGTGACTGGAAGGGTTACAGTGCTGGGTGTTCTCCTCCCGAGTGAGGGGCCCTGTGCTGAGGCTGATGGGAAAGGTCCTTCCGCTCTAGTTACTCTTGGGGGCATTTTTATTCCTTATCTCAGCCAGTTTGCTGACCAGGAAGCCCCACTTGAAGGCGCCCTCTTCTGGCTCCCGGAGGTCGCTGCCGTTGTTAGAATAGGAGGCCTTCTCTCCGGGGGGCTCCCCGGGCGCCCCGCTGAACTCGGCCGCTGGCTCGCTGATCTCCGGCTGGGCCGTCTTCTTGTCCAGCGCAGAGGCCTGCTGCCACTTGGCGGCAAAGACATCCCAGAACCCTGAAGTCGTCTTCTCTGCAGAGGGCGACTCTGCTGGCTTTGGTGCCAGGGGGCTGGAAGCAAGAGAGGGGGAGGTTAGGAGGTGGGGAGCATCTGAGCATAAAGATCCCAACACACACAGGAGAGACCGGAAGGGGGAGAGCGTCAAGGAGAGAAAGAGAAGGAGATGAGCAGCAAGAGGGTGTTGGGCAGTATTGCAGCCTACAGGGAAGAGACTGAGCCTGTGTAGGAAAGGCACAGGCAGACAAAATGATCCAGGGAGGGGCAGAGACAGGATGCTGAGTCCTGGTGTCTGGCAGGCTGCTGGAGTGCAAGCGAGAGAGGCTGATTCGCACAGACGTGACTGTAGTTTAATAAGAATCCCTGAGCCACAGGCTTCCCTTCAGCAGATGTTATTGAACCAGCCTTGTTGAGAAGGGCGTGGCTTCTCATGAAGGCGGGCAGGGGGTAGGGGGGGCGCTACCCAAACCCTAGCCCCCGTTCCCAGGCGCAGGGCCAGAACACAGGCACCAGCCCGGGTCTGGATTTTATAGACACAGCAGAAGCGATGTGGGCACTGGGGTGAACAAGCTGGCTGCAGGGCTCAAGGATCGCCATGCACACGTGACTGGGGGATGCTCTGAACGGGGGGCTTTGAACTCTCCTGGCTCGGGAGGATCTGCACTTTGTGCCCCAGGGTGTGGGACAGGGAACTTCTTATTGCAAAGCTGCCGGCTCTTGGGGCTGAGCCAAGGCTGCCCCGGCGGGAGGCTGGAACGGTCTCCACACAGGCAAAGGAGCCCATTGGAACTGGGTAACTTTTCTACAGTGTGACGGAGGCACCTGGTGGATCTCCAGCGCATTTCTTCTCTCTCCTCCTACGCCGGCTCCAGGGCCAGGAAATGCCTCTCGATCTAAACACTTTGCATCCAGCACTGGAACCATGGGGACAGATTTCCACATGGACATGACCAGGACAAGACAGCAGGGTGTGGTTCTCTTGCCTTCACCTGCGGCCATCTGAGTGGCCCGTGCATCATGTCCTGTGGCTGTAGCAGCAGGGGCGGGAAGATAGCCGAGGGCGCTGTTGTTGGACACAGTTTTGGGTTCAGACTCAGCCATGGGGTAAGTAGGTGTAGCTCTCACTGATCTCAATGGGAGTGGGGTCCACATACAGCAGGGCTGAATTTAGTCATAAGCCCTCTCTGGAATCCAGGTGAATGAGAACAGAGTTACTGGACTTGAGAGGACCCCTCGCCTGGCTGAGAGCTCAGGTGTACAGGGCCGTACACTCATCCTTGCTCTGGGGGGGCGAAATCCAGATACGCTTGTACCTCGCTGCCTGAAGTCTCACCCCAAGCCACCCCTCGTCCTGGTCCTCAGGCCTGTGGCAGACCCTCAGCCCTACCATAAGCTGGGCCATGACTAGCTGGGCACTGCCTAGAAGGACGGGATCCCGACGGGGACGCTACGATGCAGACGCAAGCGTCAGTCTTACTGGTCAGCGCAGGACTCGGGGGTCAGCAGCTTGTGCTCATCCTCCCTACTGAACAGAGACGACATGCTCCTCCAGCCTCTGGCGCCAGCCCCCTGGACCTGCAGAGCAGAGGGAGGGAACCACTGGTCAGTGAAGCTGCCTGGGTCCAGGCAGGAGTGGAGCTTGTGTGGTTCGGCCGAGCTCACATGGGTCCCTGGGAATGTCAACGGGCCCCAGAGCTTTGCTCCATGGGACTGACGCAGCAGGAATTTATTTCCTCTGCCTCCTCCTCCACCACACACAGACTAGCCTCACGGACGCACCCAACAAAGCGTCACCCTCCTCCTCTGTCACCCTCAGCATTATCCCCCCTCCTCCCAAAAGAGCAGTGACTGTCTCCATGCCAGCCACTCGTCCCAGGTTAGGCAGGGGCTGGACACCAGATTCAGAAGAGGGGTCTCTGCCCCGCTCAGCTCTTGCATGCCCACTGCCCCCTTGTTTTCCATGCCCCCCTTTGAGTGACCTCACTGGCCGTTGTGCGGGTGAGGAGTGGGTGAGGAACAGCTGGCAGAGACCCCTGGAGCCCAGAGGAGAGGGGGCATTTGCCCTTTGTCTTTGTTAGCCTGGGTGTAGGCTCTTTGGAGCAGGAACCAGCCTTCTGGTCTGTATCTGTACAGCACCTGGCGCCAAGGGGGCCCGGGTCCAGGACTGGGCCACCTCGGTACTATAAGGACAGCACAGACATTATGATAGCAAATGACCAGGTTCCACGCTCACACTGCCTGTCCCCCACAACACTCAACCACCCCCTCCACCTGTTTATGGGCATCTGCCACCCACTGCAGCAAGAAGGCCTTTTGGTGCCGCGTGAGGTCTCGGCCCACGGGGAGTTCTGCCCATCAGGGTGGTAAAGGGGCGAAGGTTTGACCAGCTCGAGCAGGGCTGGCTGGAGACTGATCAGAGCCAGTGCGGCTGGGTCAGGGAGGGGAAGGCTGACTCTGGAGGGAAGATGCAGCCAGAGTAATGGGTGTCTGGATACAGCTGGGCACCCAAGGCCACACCACCGCACCTAATTTCTAGGGTGCTTGGTGCTCTGTGAGCACCTAAGGCTCTGATCCGACAGCAGACTGGGGGAAGCAGCCCCCATGCCAGGGTGTGATCAGGGCCTCCAGCAGACAGGCACAATGGCCCTGAGGGGGATGTGGGCAACCAAGTGACTTTTTTCCCCTCTTGCGGTTGTAGATCTGCAGTCCCTTTCCATTATCTGCGGCCTCTTTGCCTTAGGCCGGGCTCTGGACAGGTACTGGTGCTTTGCTGTCTACCTTTGGAGGGGGTCTGTTTCTTTAAGGACACGTGGAAGAAAGACCAGGCTACGGTCAAATCAAACGCACCTGTCTCTGCTAATTCACATTCATTACAGAAACCTGCGGCCGGGCGAGGACTGGTATTAGGGCCAGGGGGCTTGCGGCCTCCTTATCATAGCCTGGTTTGATTCCCCTGCTCTCCCTCAACATGTTATTGTGCACTAAATCCCGCATCTGGCTTTCCCCTCGGAGCACTGCCCTCTCGGCCTGGCCACAGCTCCGTGGCCTTCTTCCCAGCGTGGAGCTCTCCGCTGTGAAATCCGAGCGAGATGAGGCCCAAGCTCTTTGTATCACACTGTGGTGAGGTGAGGTCCCTCCGAGAGCCCCCACGCCCAGCGTTTGGCCTTGCCTCCTTCCACTGCAGCAGGACCCGCCTGCCCCTTGTCTCTGCGGTGAGATCACCAGTGCGTGTTCCATAGCCCAAGCTCGCCTTCTGGATTTTTTTTTTGGCAGTGAAGACAAAGCCCCTGTTACAGGCTGCATCAAGCAACCGTGCTTGGCTGCCACAGATACGGTAGGGTTGCCAGCCCTCAAGGATTGGCCGGGAATCTCCCGGAATCGGCATCGATCTCCCGGTGGCTATTGAAAGCCATTCAGGAGATTTTAATGAGATATTTTAAGAAAATAACGTTACGTCAAGTGGGGGGGCCAAAAAAAAATCTCCCAGAATAGCTTCAGGCAGAGTTGGCAACCCTAAGATGCGGTAGCACCGAGGGGGGTGACAGAAAGCCAGGCGAATCTCCAGGGTAGATTGGAACCCACAGAAACTCCTGAAAACAATCCCAGTGAGCAGAAAATCCCCCCGGCCGGTTCGGCTTGGGTGTGGTGACTGGTGCCAGAGGTATGGTGCTAAGAGAGAGACGGCAGCTCTGGGACGCAGGTGGGTCGCCTAAGATGGGAGGCCTTACCCTTCGTGCCAGCTGGGAGATGGGGTTCGATCCCTCCTCCATCAGAACTGGGGCATCTGTGGTTTCCACCAGCTCGGGGTTATCCCTCTGAAACAAACTCACAGTATCAGCCATGGGGCAGCAGCGTGTGGAGAGGAGGGCCGTGTGAACAGCTGCAGGGGCAGCACCTGGAAAGACCGGCTGGCTCTGTCCCTGGGTGAGTGGAGTTAGCAACGGGATTTCTCACCCCCTTGACTCCCCTCACCCCATTCACTTTTTTCTCCTCCTCCTCTAGCTGCTGCCTCTGGTCTTGGTCTGGTCCATGCACTAACTATTCCCCATGCAAGGAGCTTCCACCAGACTTCCTCAGTCGTTTGGCCCTAGTCCTAGCGGAGTCCCTTGTCCTTGTGTTTGACCCAGGCTCAGTGTTGTGGCATCTCCGGTCTATTCCCTACTGAACAGAAACTCCCTTCTGCGCTCCCCTTCTCCAACGAATCAGGTCAAGCCCTCAAAGCAGGGAGGGATTAAAGAATTTGGGGGCCCTGCACACTATGAAAATGTGGGCTCCCCACCTGCCTTCACCTAGACAGTTCAGTTAGCTAGAGACTAGCTGTGGGCAAACGAGGCAGCTGCCTAGGGCTGCAGGGTCTGTCTAGGTGCTGGGCCAAACCTGAGTGCATGGCGCTTGATCCTCCCCCACTTCTATCATAACCAATTTTTTGCCCAGTGGTTGGGGGCCTGCCTGAGATGGGGGCCTTGTGCAAGTGCACTGAGTTCACATTGGCTAATCTGGGCCGGCTTCAAACTACCTTATGTGACTAGATGGGAAGCGGAGAGTCTCATGTTATCACCTGACTCCAGGAGCTGGGGCTTTAAGGAAAACACCAAAATTTACACGATTTGGCCACACTGAAGATAAAGTGACCAGGCGAGGTCTCTCCATGCCCCATCTGCCATGCTACAAGAATCTTCTCTGCTCCGAGTTCAGTGACCCCTAGAAATGGGTTTCCCTCATTTCATAGCACCGACCAGCTCTGGAGTTGTACCCACCCCTTCACTCCAATCCCTCCACCCCGACTGGTCCTTCTCCCTGCCCTGTAACAAGCAGTGCTGAGTTCACGGGGCCAGGGCTGGGTTTGTATTTCTCTGCGCTGAAGGGCACGAACCCCATCGCTCTTGCCCCACCCCAAGACTCTCCAAAGTGCTCGGATCTGATTTTTCTTTCTGACTGGATGATTTGTCGGCGCCCAGAACACAGATCCCTGCCAAAAACCGGGGCAGGGCGGGCAAGCCAAGGAGAGCTGCTGAAGCGGCTGGCGGATGCCGGGGCACGAACACGGGGCACCAGAGAGTGCCTGGTTGCCACAGGCTGCAACAGCAGCAGCAGAGGGAGGAACAGCACAAGGAGAAACAGCAGCAGGTAGCATGGTGACCACAGCACTAGGGGCCCCGGGGGCAGTTGTCCTGCCAGAGACTGGACGTGGCAGCAGCAATAGCTGTGTTCTGCACTGTGCCCCTCTGAGTCTGGGAATCAATGAATAAACCCCACCGTGGCGTGTGGGGGGCTTGTGCCAAAGGGATAGAGGGTGCGGAGCTGGGGCTGGGTGGGGATCCCGGGGGCTCAGGGTACCAGAGCGGGTGGAGACGGGGGCTGGGTAGGATCCCGGGGGCTCAGGGTACCAGAGCGGGTGGAGACGGGGGCTGGGTGGGGATCCTGGGGGCGCAGGGTACCAGAGTGGGTGGAGCCGGGGGCTGGGTGGGGATCCCCAGGGCTCAAGGTACCAGAGTGGGTGGAGACGGGGGCTGGGTGGGGATCCTGGGGGTGCAGGGTTCCAGAGTGGGTGGAGCCGGGCGCTGTGCGGGGATCCCGAGGGCTCAGGGTACCAGAGTGGGTGGAGCCGGGGGCTGGGCGGGGATCCCCAGGGCTCAAGGTACCAGAGTGGGTGGAGCCGGGGGCTGGGTGGGGATCCTGGGGGCTCAGGGTACCAGAGTGGGTGGAGACGGGGGCTGGGTGGGGATCCTGGGGGCTCAGGGTACCAGAGTGGGTGGAGCCAGGGGCTAGGCGGGGATCCCGAGGGCTCAGGGTACCAGAGTGGGTGGAGCCGGGGGCTGGGCAGGGATCCCCAGGGCCCAGGGTACCAGAGTGGGTGGAGACGGGGGCTGGGTGGGGATCCTGGGGGCTCAGGGTACCAGAGTGGGTGGAGCCAGGGGCTAGGCGGGGATCCCGAGGGCTCAGGGTACCAGAGTGGGTGGAGCCAGGGGCTGGGCAGGGATCCTGGGGGCTCAAGGTATCAGAGTGGGTGGAGACAGGGGCTGTGCGGGGATCCCGGGGGCGTAGGGTACCAGAGCGTGAAGCCAGGGGCTGGGCGGGGACCCCGGGGGTGCAGGGAAGTAAACCTGGGAACCCCTGGTACCTGCCCCCATGGGCAGCGATAGAGACCCGAAGCCCCTGCCAGGGCCATCCCTACCTCATCCTGGAACTCCCCCTCCTGCCCCTCTCTGCCCAGACTCTGCAGCACTTTGGACTTGTAGACTTTCCAGAATCCCTGAGTCATGGTGGCAGCCGGGACGTTGGCCCTGAGTCCCAGGGCAGCCGCGCTCCTACAGCAGGTAGCAGGAGAGGCCCAGACAAGCAGGCTCCTTGTGGCTTAGGTGGTGCTGTCTGCCTGGTGCCTGGCAGCCTTTGGCTCAGCTCCTGTGCCCCGCGTGCCTAGGGCTGGGGTGGGGTGCCATTGCACAGCTACACCCAGCTGCTTCGAGGGCTCTGCGGGGAATCGGGGACTTGACGGGATGCTGGAGAGTGCTGCAAACTCGCACCTGGTACAGGCGGGTGCCTGCTGGGATCTGGTGTCTTCATTAAAATTGCAGAGGCCTCCTATGTTCAGACCACAAAGAGGAACTCGATCCGGGTCTGACCCAGAATGCCAGTGGGCTCCTAGACATAGGGCCGGTGGGCCTGCGGGGAGTTCTATCCGCCTGATCCTGGAGGGGCTGTTCCCTGTCCTTCAGCTCCCCCCATATCTTGCCTCTAGCCCCTCATCCATCCCCTCTGTCTTGTTCCCACAGGGGGCTCTCTCCTGGGCCACAGCTACCTTCTCCATCCCACTCCCTGAGTCTGTGCCTGGCCAGCCACCATCTATGTCCCTTTGCAACAAAGGTCTGTCTCCTGCCTACTCTCTGTTCCCCTGCCCCTGTAGAGTCTTCCAGCTCCCAGGGTGAGGTCCTTGCATGGCCCCCACCCCCTCCCGGGTCCTGCAGACAGTCTCATCCCAGCTTGGCTGAGCTCTTGCGTTACACTTCATTGTTTGTGGCCTGTAACAGATCCCCCCTGAGAAGGGGCGCCTGGAACACAGTATCTCAGCAACCAGCTGAAAATAGTGTCCGGAAGCTAAATTATTCCTTAGGAGTCGCCAGCCCTGCAAACCCATCTCTTCTCATTCACATATTTAATTTCTGTTCAGGGACTGAAAGCTTTTTGGAGCGGGGTCTATGCAAATTGCAAACAAGAGAGGAGAACTTGAAGCTGGAGTAGAAACAGGGCAGCTAGCTACAGTCTATGAGGAAGGGGCTTCTTGCCTGCCACATATGAGATGAACGGACATGGAGGCAGGTGGCCACTGGTGTTCTGGAGTGGCAAAACCCTGATGTCTGGTACGGGGGTGTCTTTTGTTCTGCCACCCTACCTGAGCTGCACTGTGTTAATGACAAGAGGCCTGTCTGCCATTGCTACGTGACTGTATGTATTATTGATTCCTAAGCAGAGAGGTAATGTGATCACAGGTGGCTAGCTGACTGACAGCTGCTTCTTTGTTGTGGATTGACAGGTGTATCCAACATGCACGACTCCATGTTTGCTGCCCTTCATGCCATTAAGACACCCACCTACAGTGTAGTTTAGTCATGCTGAGAACCCCCCCGCTCAGTGCACCAGTGACTTCACCCAAAGTGGCAGCCATGCACCTCCCTGTTCCAAAGATCACCCTCAGGTTAAAACCCCTTCACTGTGTTGTTTACCTTTTGACCCTCACTCTGCTTGGGCAGAGAGAGCAGAACAGGGTGGGTCACTGGTTCTCTAGTCAGTATCAGATTCTCCCCTTGTGGGGGAAGGTTGCAGACACTGCAGGCGAATTTACACACCCCAATCAAATGCTATTACCTCAGAAAATCAAGACCCACAACCACATTTCTAGGTTTGTTATTTCCTGCCAAACGCTTTAAACACATCAGACAGGACCTGGTGATGGCACTTTAAGCTGCCATCCCACAAAAGCCTGCTTTTGATTTCATCGAAATGCAAAGCCAAAGTCAGACTCACTGAGTGTGTTTAGGTTTCAGAGTAGCAGCCGTGTTAGTCTGTATCTGCAAAAAGAACTTTCTTTCTCTTCGGGCTTTCCAGATCATTCCCTGTAAGGGTACAATACTGCGACTAACTGCACGTGTCTGTATCACTTTTCATTCAGCCAAGCTGCCTTAAAGAGTTTATTTATAGAGATCATTCATCCACCACTCAGGCATGCTCACCTCTGGGGTGGGAGGTTACAGCTGTTTATATACAGCAAGGGGCAGGGCCCAGTGTGGTTTCAAGCAGAAAGTGAAGTACATTAGAACATAAGAACGGCCATCCTGGGTGTGATATTATGAGTGTAATATAGTATCTCATGCATTCGATGAAGTGAGCTGTAGCTCACGAAAGCTTATGCTCAAATAAATTGGTTAGTCTCTAAGGTGCCACTAGTCCTCCTTTTCTTTTTGATAATATCTCATTGAAAGGTGACAGGGCCAGAAAGAGTTAATTAACTCACAGACTGACCATGGCCAAACTTGAGAGACTGGTTAGGAAGATACCTAAAATGAATAGAGCTTTGAAATGCAAGCCTGAATTCGCAAAAAGAAAAGGAGTACTTGTGGCACCTTAGAGACTAACCAATTTATTTGAGCATGAGCTTTCCTGAGCTACGAAAGCTCATGCTCAAATAAATTGGTTAGTCTCTAAGGTGCCACAAGTACTCCTTTTCTTTTTGTGAATACAGACTAACACGGCTGTTACTCTGAAGCCTGTATTGTTAGAGATAGAAGGGTAGATGTTTGTTCAGGTCTTGTGATGTAAGCCAACAAGTCTTGTCTATAGCTTTGATTCAAAGATCAAAAGTATTAGTATTTAGGAAGACACTTGAGGGAAATTGTATTATTGTCTATATGTCTCTTTGAAGGTTGTGTGTGTAACCTGTATCTGAACTGTTTAATGGATAAATTACCCTGTGCCAATTGCCATGATGTTTGGAAGAAGGAAAGTTAAGCCTATTGTTTTCTCAGGCCAAAAAGCTGCTGGAAATGTATGAAAACCTTGGGACACGATCCTTCTTCAGCTCAGATCTGCTTTGGGTTTCAAGAGGAGGAAACCTTAAGCCATAAGGATTGAGATCCCCAGTCACTGACTGGAGTCACCCTCAATATGGACATTGGACTATAACCTATGGACTATTTCTAAAAGGACTTTTGGCAACTACAAGCTCATCTCTGCCATGTATCTGAACCTCAAGAATTGAACTCAGGTCTGTCTGTATATTGATCTTTTAACCAACACTCTCTCTCTCTTTTCTTTTTTAATAAATTTTAGTTTAGTTAATAAGAATTGACTATAAGCGTGTATTTTGGGTAATATCTGAGTTATCATTTGGCCTGGGTCTGGGGCTTGGTCCTTTGGGGTCAGGAGAACCTTTTCTTTTATTTGATGAAATAAGATTTTCAGAATTTATCACTATGTTTGACGTGTATCTGGAGGGAGGCCTGAGGCTGGGTACTTTAAGGGAACTGCATTATTTGGACATCTGAGTACCCAGGGAGGTGCTAGAGAAGCTGTTTTGGGCTGGCTGGGTAAATCTAAGTATTGGAATATCCACCAGCGTTTGGGGTTTGTCTGCCCCGTTTTGTTTGTTCACCCTAATTGAGTGACCTCAGCTGGCTCCCACGGGCAGCACCGTCAAACTGGGTCAGACCAAAGGTCCATCTAGCCCAGTATCCTGTCTTCTGACAGTGGCCAAGGCCAGGTGCTTCAGAGGGAATGAACAGAACAGGTCATCATGCCTCACGTGGACACCAACAAATACATAGCTGGAATTAGTCTGCCTCACCCGTGTATTAGTATTGTTAAAATAGGTATCAGAGTTATAAAAGTGTGCTTAGTGTTTAGACCTGGGTTAGTCAATTATTTTTGCCAAGGTCTACATTTCTTGGTCAAGGTATAGTCAAGGTCCGGTCCGGGCTCCAGAGAAACATTTTTCACACCAAGTGTCACTGTTCAACGAACACATACAATTCTATGTTATATACCCTATTGCTTATATTTTTAGTGCATTAAATGAAAAATAAAATCAAACCACTGTATAACCTAAAAATAACCTCCAAGAAAGATGTAATAAATTACATCTGAGACTTTGAGAAAGTACATAGAGGAAAAAAGAAAAGGAGTACTTGTGGCACCTTAGAGACTAACCAATTTATTTGCATGTATTTAGTATGCATCCGATGAAGTGAGCTGTAGCTCACGAAAGCTTATGCTCAAATAAATTGGTTAGTCTCTAAGGTGCCACAAGTACTCCTTTTCTTTTTGCGAATACAGACTAACATGGCTGTTACTCTGAAACCTGTCATTATACATAGAGAAAATGTCAAATCGATGCAAACATTAGCATTAAAACACTTTCAGACAACTGTTTTAAGTTTTGAATGTGTTTTGTCAAATAAGACTATTGTAGGCATATATGTATATAGAGAGATAGAAAAACATATTTGAAACTTTCAAGCCTTTTGTGGTTTATTTAATAAGTATCAGAGTATGAAAGAAAATAACACTTAGTACACATGAACTCTTTATCTTTTATGATTCAAGTCTTTCCAATAACAAATACACATCCACTTACATGTATTAAAAAAAAAATCATGAATAATTACTGTGAAATACCTGTTAAAACTGCAGTATCACTATTGAAAATGTAATTTTATACAGCAGTACAAATTTAAAATAAAATATGCGTGAATAATGTATGATTATACTGCTCGTCATCGGTGGGGAAAGTGATAGGTCCTCTGCTGGACAAGAGCCTTGAAGTCTGGAGTGAGTTCAGTCAATGCAAGAGAAGGCAATTGCACAGATGATTATCAGTCAGAACAGAGCAATTACGGGATTTCATGTTGTTCGTTGTTGAGAATGCTGATTCACACACGTAGGTCGAGCCAAACATAGTCAAAATGTTAGACAATGAATCCGACGAAGTGAGGATTCACCCACGAAAGCTTATGCTCCAATACGTCTGTTAGTCTATAAGGTGCCACAGGACTCTTTGCCGCTTTTTCCAAATGTTAAATGCCACCTACCTCAAGTGTGGAAAGTTTCAGCTGTAGTTTCAGCATGCTGCACCCTTAGCACTCAGTAAACTCCTGCTTTAGTTTTGCTTTTTCAAACATCAGGAATGGATGCTTTTGCTTGATCAGACTAAGTGCCATTTGCTTGTACCACGAATGGATTCCTGACACGCAGGAAGATGTTGTGAATGCTTTCAGATTCTGGAACCCTCTGCAGGAAGTTTTGAAGAAGTCTGTCCAGAG